GGGGCTGCTGCTTCCCCTCTGGCTGGCCCCAGCTCAGCGCCCGGAGCAAGCGACAGGCGCTAACATCAGCCCCTGCATTCCCAAGGAAAGGCGCCGGGAAGGGGGGAGGGAAGAGAGGGAGGTGTCGTTAGGGGAGGGAAGCCGGCCCAGGGCATCTTGCTCCACATAAGCCCCACGGCTATCGGCTCGGAGTCCACGCAACGGGCCTGACCCAGAGCAGCCAGACAGCCCCTTGCATTCCTCTGCTCTTCCCTCCCATCGCCCCTTGCTGAGCCCCCAGTGTTAAGCTCCACACCCGGGGGGGGGGGGCAGATCCACCCAGTTCTGAAGCAGTAGCCACTAAAATGGCTATCGCCAACTAGCCAAACCGCCACATGTGGCTAGCGTGTTGGACACCACAGCTCTACAATGAACTAGTCCAGGCCTCCTTTCCCAGCAACCTCTGTGCAGGGTGGCAAAGCACCATTGTGGCTCCCCCCCCACCCCGCTCCCAGCAGGCCCCGGAGGAATCCTGCCTCCTTGACCAGTTTGCTCGAGGGACTCCGGCTGGTTCCCAGCAGTGCTGAAAACAAGGGAGCCATGCCAGCAGGAAGCCATGTCCGCACTGTTTACCTTTCGAGCCAGACAATGTGATTCATGGCTTCTGGGGCCATAAACACGTGTCTGGGTGCCCAGGGGAAGGGAACGGCGGAGGAGAATGTTTTCCACCCCACTTCCTCACGGGCGGCCCAGCTCCGGGTAACCCCTGCAGGGCCGCAGGCCAGGGGAGTGCCCTCCCACACCCAGACCAGTCTCCGTCCATCCTGCCCACCCCATGCACTCATCAAAGCAGCTGCTGCCATCAAGACCTGACCCCTCAGGAGGGCAGCAGCCTCGGGAATGCGGCACGTGCTGGCAGACAGGAGGCGTTTCCACGCATAGCAGGTTCAGCGGTACCAGCCACTCAATACCCCCAGTTCCGAGAGACAAAACCCTGCTGTCTCATCTCAGGCACGTGCTTTCTGCCCGCCTGGCGTCAGCAGCCTTCCTGGCTGTGCCTCCATAGGGCACAACCCCAGCAAGCCCACAGGTCACATCGCAGCAGCCTCACGTCTTTCCAAGGTACGTTCTGCGCCTCGCGCCCCTCAAACTCAGCCGCTCCCGGAGGAAGCCACCATGGATAGGACAGAAGTGACCCAGCTAAGGATTCTGGGGCAACCCCCCAGCCGTGGCCTGCAGACTCCTTAGTGCTCTCCTCCAGAGACCCCGACACAGCAAACAGCACGGCGCTCAGTGCAGCACCACACGCAGCCCCAGGGAGCGGACGGGGATCTGCATGAACCAGTCGGGGCACCGTGCTGCTCAGTATTCATCACTTTCAGACACTTTCCCCTGCACTGTTCTCGTGCCCTCAGCCTGTGATCTGATGGGGTTTTTATTGGGGGGGATTTATTTGTAATTAAATTCCCCCCTTGTGCAAATATTTTCTTTGGTAGAGTGTAAAGAAGTTTGTTCTGCCCTGTCTTTGGAAAGAGATGTCATGTCGTCTGAATTAGACACGCATCCCTCGCAGCAGCCTGGGAACAAAGATGAAGGAAGCGATCCCTTTTCTGCCTGCCTGGTATGTGCATCGTAAGCCATTGGTATTTATGCTTAAGGAAGGAGCCTGATAGATCCTGCAGGCACAGGGAGAAATCCTGGCAGCCGGGAAATAAGCGGCACAACTCCTAAATTAACCACAAGGGGATCAGGGTTTCCTCCAGGATGCTCGATTCTGAAACAGCTTCTAAACTGGACTGACTTCAGTGTAAACTCACTGGTGTAAATGGTATCAGAGGGGTAGCCGTGTTAGTCTGAATCTGCATAAACAATGAGAAATCCTGTAGCACCTTATAGACTAACAGATGTATTGGAGCATAAGCTTTGGTGGGCAAAGATCCACTTCGTCGGATGCATGTAAATGGAGTTATTCCCGACGTACAGCAGTGTAACTGGTCTCACGGTCACCCTCTAACTCTGGGCTCACCAAGGAGAGACCCATGAACCCAAGTGAGTTTTGATTTCCTGGGTTCGAAAATAACTGGAAAGAAAACAGGAAAAGAAGGTTTCTGCTGCAGCCCGCCGGCAAAGACAGTCAGGCACAGCCAAGCAGCAGAACATGCGTCTGATAACAGAGACCGAAAGCACGTCACACTCAGGATGGGGCTAGGAGAAATCTAACAGTTTTACAGGGGCGCTGAATAATAGGCGGGAGGTGGCTTTCCAGGATCAATACCTAATTTGCCTATTTAAATGAGCCAAGCCCTGGTACCTACTGCAGAAGTGACTTACCCGCAATAATGCTGAGACTAGATCAAGGCTAGAAGCCTGTTTGGTCCCTTTAGCCACGTAATTATACAGCAGTTCCCATGCACAGACTGGCCGGACTGTCTCGAGGCAGCCAGTGCCACATGGGTAGGGTCAGAGTCACAGCCCCTCCCAGGAGACAACACAGCTAGGAACAAGCGGGTTCCTTGTGCCGCAGCAGCAGAAAGGGAGCCAGTTGCCAGAGGCCGCCCTGAGATGCAAGAGGCAGAGGGATCCCCGTTGACACTCGCGTCCCAGAGAGGCTTCCCTCGCTGTGTCAGGGAAGGGGCCGGCAGCTGCCATCTGTACAAGAACCATTGCAATCCCCCTGGGCCCTGGATTGGATCCTACCTTCTGTAGCCACTGGGTGTTGTTTTCCATGGTGGTCTCCAGCTGCTGGAGCCGCTTGGCTGGCCACTTGGGGTCGGGCCCGGAAGGAGCGTCCCTCTGCAGCGAGTTGGAGACCTGGTATTCGGCGGCCGAGGGGTAACAGCCCCCGAGCTCAGGGAGCAGGAAGGTGTAGCTGCACGGCCCATGCTGCACCTGGTGCTGAGGTCTGTCCTTCCCTTTCAGGTGGGACCCAAGTCCCAGAGCCGTCACGGCCCAGGCAGCCACCACGAACCACAGCAGGGCTCCCCTGGTTCCCATCCTCACCTTGCAGGGAGGGGAGGGGAGGAGGCTTATTCCTACGCAGCCGAAAGAGCCGGAATGTCACACGCGGGTTTCCCTGCTTCTGGGCTCCCTGACGAAGGACACTCAGTCCTCCCCCTGCCTGGCTGCTGCTGCTGACATGTGGCGTCTGACAGCTCCTCGGCGGGGAACGCAGCCGGCCAGGAATCCTGCCCCCTGAGCCTGCGTTTCCTCGATAAAGGCCTTCAATTGCTTCCTATATCTCTGGCCCATGTTCTCCCGACAACTGCAGGAAGTTTTATTATTATTATTATTTTAAACCCTCCCCTTTCCCCTCCCTCGCCCCCCCAAGCGCCTCTCCCGCCCCCTGCGGGCTTTGGAAGCCGGCCCAGCCCTCTTCGGAGATGCTTTGTCCTCTGGAATCCAGCTGCCTCTGAGGAGATAATTAGGCCGCAAGAATGTGTCAGCCCCCAGCCCAGGTCAGGGGCGCTAGGGGTTTCCGTTTATCTTCGGCGGCTGCTTGGCCTCGCCTCCTTCCTGCCGTTCCCTGAAGACTGGGTTGCCTGGCAGGGCTTGGAGAACAGTCGGTCTCTCGCCCACAGAGGGAGCAGGGCCCAAGGATGCTTGCCAGCACCCTGCTTTCTAGTCCTAGCTGGTCAGTGGCCCCTCTGTCGCAGGGGGTGCACCGGCAGGGAGAATGTGGCTGCAGCATCTTTGGCTGGTTTAGCACCCGGCAGCTCTCCTCCCCTCCCCCAGTTCCTCCCACCCCGCTGAGGTCTGGAAAACCTGCCCCACTGAGAGAGACTGCAATGCTCCCAGTCTTTTGCCTGCTGGGTCCGGAAGGGACTTGCTGACAGTCTGCATGCAGCTCTCTTGGCTAGGAGCTGAGCTGGCTGCAGGCCGATGTCATGTCTCCCTCTCGCAGGAGGTCAAGGGGCCGCATCTCTCCCCCTGCTGCTCCACACGGTGGGGAGGGGGGGGCGCGGAGAGAATGGGACATCCAGGACAGCCACAGCGTCACAGCCACCGACTGGGAGAGCCCTGGGGTTCCGTCGGTGTAGCTAAAACAGAGGTGAATGTTCCATGTCCTGCGTAAACTAGGGTCTGCAAGATTAAGGTTTAAAGTGGTCGCACCTTTTGGGGGACCAGCCGCACTTGAGAAATGCTGATTTCCCCTGTGAAATCACCACCGGACTAGGTAAAAGCACACAAAAGGCCTCACCAGACTCGATGCATTTTTCACTGCCATGAATTTGGGAGGGCCCTAGCTAGGAGGTTAAGGGGAGCTGAGAACTGACTTCATTACGGCCTGTTTCCTTCCCCTGCTCACCTGTAAGAGGCTGTGTGTGGTGCACAGAGCCCCGCGTACCGGTTGAGCCTTGCACAGAGGGCCGGCTAATCCTGTAGAGCAGAGTGAGACTGTTTACTGCCAGGCTGAAGCATGCTCAGTGCAGAGAGGGCAGAGGAGATGGGTGTATCGCCTGCCTCTTTGGGGAAGGCGGCTCTCCAGGGATTACAGACATACCCCTGTCACTTGAGAAGGTCCCATAGGTTCAAAGGCCGGGTGTGGTCCAGATGAGCTTCTAAATGGCCGAGCTGGGCTCAGGGATCTCCCAAGAAGGGGCTCTCAAGAGAGACGCTGGTACAGCCAGTTGCTGGCCAGACGCTTTCCCATCACGCCAGCACTGGCTTCGCTTCAGGTCAGCTCTAGAAACGCGGAAGGGTTCGCAGAGCTGCCAAACAGGCTCATTCCTTCTTGCGCATGACCAAAGTCACACGTGAACCCACGACCCCAGCCAACCCGCCCTCGGCAGCATTTCTAAAGAAGCGCGCCAGCAGCTCAGCTGGGCTTGTCCCGTCTCAGAAGGGGCACTTGGAGCATACTTGTTCCTGTAAATATTTACTCCAATTCCCCCGAACTCCTGGCTAAGCTGCTTTCTGCAGCACCCTTGCCCTCAGCCGCATCTCCCCACAGCCCTGGTTTGCTTCTTATGCGTCTCCACTGAGGAAAGCCCAAAGGGAATGGCTCCCCTTCCAACGGCTATACCTCTTGCCCTCTCCTGTGGCTGTAGCTACAGCAACATCCCTAATGTCAGCTGGAGAGTACCCTACAGGATTGTCTCCTGCATCCAGGTTGCAGAGGATGCTCACAGCTGCCCGTCTTGGGACCCCTTGTCGCGCCTTGTGCCCACCGCCAAAAGGCAAGTTTGTTTCTTCAGAGGAAACCCAAGCCACTAATTTTTCTCACCCATGTACAGAATAAATTTTGTTATGTGCACCAGAATGTGTGGATGTGCACCACCAGTAGACACACCAGCTGCGGGCGCTCTGCAAATCAGCTGGTCAGCACTGGAATCTCTCCTGGGTGTCCACCCAAGCACCCAGCTTACAAGGAACGCTGGCCCGAGGGACTGCCCCACACAGCTAGCACTAGGAGACGGTAGCACACTCAGTGGCACAGTGCGAAGGTGAATGAACACCTGGACAAAGGCTTCCCTCATATGAATTCAGGGCTCACAGAAATGGGGGCACAGGTCTCCCTGAAGATTCACACAGGGGGGCCCTGCCTTACTGCTTCACGCCCAGCAAACAGGTCGTAGGAGTCTCAGGCCGATGATGAAGCTGGAAGCTTGAACCTTGGGCCTGTCCACAGTCTGGGAGGGCTCAGGATGGCAGCGCTCCCGGTGTGCGCAGCGGAGAAAGTGCAGCCGATGCATTTCAGTATCTGACCCGTTTTCCTATTCTTGTGGCCTTCCTAGCAGAGCAAGCCCAGGGGGCCCAGCTGGCTGGAAAAGGTGCTGTTAGAGCGGGCCCTGTGAACCAAAAATCACTCGCCTCACGTGGAAAGTTACTCGGGCGAGAGACCCGCTCGTGTACATTTGCTGGCGAGATGGGCCCAACAGCGAAATAACATACAACAGCCATAGTGAGTCAGACAAAAGGTCTATCTATCCCAGTATCCTGTCCTCCAGCAGGGGCCGATGCCAGACGCACTAGAGGGAATGAACAGAACAGGTAGTGATGGATGGCAGAACGCAGGGGAATAGAAATTTTCTAATTCCCGCCTGCTCGCTCACGGCGCCCTCTCCTCGCTCACGGCAACCGCAGCGAGACCGACCAACTCACCCACCCCGCGCGCCTCCTCCGGCCTCCCCTCCCTTGCAGCAGGGAGTCCCGGGTGGTGGTGGGGCGCCGGGGGCCCTCTGGGCGGCGCCCCGCTCGACTCCCTCCCTCCCTCCCTCCTTCCTTTATTTATTCTTGGATCTGGACTTCCAACATGCCTGTCATCTGAAGAAGTGGGTCGTACCTACAAAAGCGAATGATACCATCTACATGTTTTGTTAGTCTTTAAGGTGCTCCTAGACAATTTGCTGTTTTTTAAGTCTTTCCTGTTACAGACTAACTCAGCTACCCCTCTGAAGGTTTTGAACATACTTCCATAGTTATGGTCCATAAGACTGTCAGATGAGGGAGTCCTGATTGTGCTTAACTGCATGCCAGCTTCCAAACACCATCAGCCTGTTTGCCACTTGAGCACTCTCTTCTGGCTCTGACAGCCATGGCCTTGCCTTGCCATTTAATAATTAGTGCACTGCAGTGCCCAAACCCCTCAAAAGTATTCCCTTAGGACGGGGGTGGGGAACCTTTTTTGAGTTGAGGGCTGCTGGACCCACAGGAAAATGAGCTGGGGGGGGGGGGGGGCGGGGGGAAATTTAATGAAAAAAAGCGGCGGCTGGCCAACGCTGCCTTTGAAAAAACCTCCCCCAGGAGACAAGGGAGACGCGGAGCAAAGCCGCGGTGAGAAAAGCCGCTCTGCGTCTCCCTAGTCTGCTGGGGGGCACCCCCCTGGGAGGCCCTCCCCTGGTCTGCTGCGGGGCGGGCCAGCAGACCAGGGAGATGTGGAGCAATGCCGTGGCGACGGCGATGGTAAAGGAGAAGGAAAGAAGCCTACCCTGAAGCCGGGAGAGACAGACCTACTATATACTACCCTCCATCCCAGCCAAAAGGCCGGGCCCAGGGCCTCCCTCCCCTCCCCTGGAAAAAGGCCTACCTTGCCTCACCTCACGGCGCACACAGACGTACTCTCCCCCTCCCAAGACGTCCCCCAGCGCGGGGGAATAGAAATTTTCTAAGTCCCGCCCGCTCGCTCACCGCCCGCCGCCCTCTCCTCGCTCACGGCGACCACACCGAGACCGACCGACTCACCCACCCCGCGCGCCTCCTCCGGCCTCCCCTCCCTCGCAGCAGGGAGGCCCGGGTGGTGGTGGGGCACCGGGGGCGCTCTCGCACTCCTTC